AATTGGACGCTTAATACCACCAAACAATTACACAGACACATTTAACAGAGCTCTGTTGTAATGTGGATCCTTTAAGACAATCCACACAATGAATTGTAAAACCTGACTCAGCAGTTCAGCACACTGTGCGGTTGCTGAGCGTTTTTTATGCAGGAATCATGTGGCCATTTACAGATGATCTTTACTAGTGCCACTTATTCACATATCAGTCCATTACTGTAAGCACCAGGGAGACAATAGATTTGAGATTTACTCATATTACTGTGATAATTGCAGCGAGACAGAGAGACAAATAAGGCGTTGTAATTAAATCAAGCAGATTCTCAGGTTTTAAGGCCAAATGCAATGTTCTACCTTTATGTGGCAATCCATGGGGAGTGAGTAACTGTATTGATTGCTGCCATTAATTAAGGGAAAGCAGTGTAATCTGGGGAGGGATGTTTAAATAATTCCCTTTAAATGTAGCAGAGTGGAGCGGGAACAATCAATCAGATGGGGCGATGGTCTCTGGCGAGCCGACACTTGAGTGAGTGGTTTTTTAAGGAACAAATAAGCAATCAGTGATTACAACTCATAACTATCAGCCGCGCAGATATCACAGAGAGAATGAGCAATCATCGCCACTCATGGTCTTAGATAACAGCGCGCTAAATATAGACAATGTACGCTGAGCAGTCCGGAGGATCTGTTAAAAGACGCATCAAGATGAAGGAATGTTGCATATCTGAAACTAGCTGAGAACTTCTGATTTCATGTGCACAAAAGGAAGCAGAAATTATATCATGACTTGGGAAAAGTGAACATTAATGAATTATGTAGAAATCACAATCTTTAAAGACACTAAGCTCTAAGAGTTCTAAAAAATCTTAGAAAAAACTTTTTATTGTAGAAAAAATAACAATACCGCAAAAAAATCGTGCATACAATGTAACTGAAGTACTACAAGTAGTGTAGTACTTGTAGTACAAGTACAAGTAGTGTTCATTATGCAGAATGGAAACTGACAGTGTTATACTATTCTATCTATTCTATACTATTTATAGAATAGATAGAATAGTATACTTATTTTTCATGTGTTCACATATCAGTCATACTTTCATGTTTGTAATGTCATCAATCACGTTGTAGATAACTTTAACTACTTCAGTCAACTTTTATGGTTTGATGTATAATAATGGATCACATTTTATAATCTGATCAATTACTTGCTTATTTAAAAAGTGACTTGACTCCTAAATAACTGTAAAAAAGTAAAAAGAACACATTTTCCTATGCGATAAAAGTATACAGTAGCAGCACATTCAAATACTTAAGTTAAAGTACCTCGAAATTGTAGTTCAGTAATTGAGTAAATGTACTAAATAACTATGCACTGCTGCTGGACACACACAAACTCTCCCCTGACTGTTAGGCTGACCTCTCTGGAAGGCAGGGGGATTAAAAGACACTTTTCCCAGGGGTTTAATAAAGTATTCAAATATTATTGTTAGTTCAGTTTTATTAAACCTGATGGAAATGTACATTTTAATGAACGGAGTTCTTGCTAAGTATTAAAGCCCAAAAAAAATCAGAACGCTGTTGCGCCAGATATTGAGATATTTTAAAAGGTCCAGCCATTGGCTTTCAATGTCTTCCTAGAATATGTTTTTCTGTTTCAATGGAAAAAACTGATTTTGTTTTTACATAATACATTTAAGCTTTTCAGTTTTTTCAGGTGGAAAAGGCTAGTCAATGGACCTTGAGCTTTTTGTCCAATTAAGTTGGCAACAAAATCTACTTTCAAAGCAAAACTGTATGTATATATACATACATACATAGTACATACATACACACACACACATACAATCTCTCCACAGCGTTGTAATGACAATAAGCCAATTCAAATAAAAAGGTCTATTTTACTCAGAATTTCTTTAACTGTTTAGAACATAGTGTTATCTTATATGTTATGTTAATCTATATATAATAAAGTCTATACGTTGTATTAACTGTTTTATTTGTACTGTATGTATTGTATTATAGAAGTATCTCATTTGGCGCAGGTTATGTGTCTATGGAAAAACACTATCGGGTACTATATTTTGTTCATTTGTGTATCGGTCAGTGTCACTGGAACTTACTATTCCATTCCCGTAGGCATGACTACTCCTTTTTCTCTTTACATACATATCAGACAATACAGTCAAACAGAGTAACTGGTTTAAGATAGTTTACTGTCCATATATAAAATAAGGATTTTCCAACCTGTGACCCCGTCAGCTGCAATGACACGGTACAGAATACCTCCAGCCTCTTCGCCAACCTATTTGTCAAGTTGACCCCTCGAGCACTGAGGGCCCCCTTGAGAGTCTTCATGCAGGCCGAGGGGATTAAATCAGAAACTCAATGATTCTCTAAAAAGGTCAGCGCTTTCATAGCGTTTTCATTCCACCAGAGCCTTGAGGTTGAATAACTCAAGTCCTCACCAGCACCGGCACTGTGCCACAGGAGGGTGAGGAGAGACTGCGGTTGGTGGAGGAACCACGGGAGATTGGTTGAGGGGGAGGGGACGGGGGGGTGGATCAAAGTGCTGCAACCTTTTAGACCTGCTGCTGTTTGCTCTCTAATGTGCTCATTTGCCACCTCTCTTTCTCCCACCTCTGCCATCTCTGCCATGGGAGGGGTTTCTGCCCTCTGACGCAGCACACACACGCTCGCTACTGTCAAGCTGTGCAGGAAGTGGCACTGAGTTGAATTAATCAAAGGGTGAGAAAGCCGGGGTGGTTGAGACGGAGTACAATCTGGTGCTCAATGCCACTTGAGCGCAGACTTTTTGAGGACTTGAGGGACCTGGGTACTTGGGGACATTTTTGTACGTGTTGTTTTAGAGCCAGACGTGTTTATGCGAGAGAGGGTCACCTCCTATAAGTCGCGAAATTATATTTTGACATGCAATCTGAGGAATAACCAAAGAATAACTCAGGTTTGTAATGGAGCCAATAGGGCCGTAGAGAAATAAGATGGCAGATATCACCATTTTTATGACCTAACACAAAGATATTGATATTTTGCCAAGCCCTAGAGCCAGATAGAGATGCAACTAATTGTCAATCGACCGAAAAAGAAAACTATTTTGGTAATTGATTATTGGTGATGTTTTGTATAAAAATGGGCAAAAATGCTGTTTTATCCTCTCCAATACGTAGATTAGTTATTTTCTCTGTTTTATATCGTAAATATCATATCATAAAGTGAATATCTTTGTTTTTCGGGTACACCACCTTGGACTTTGAGTAACTGGCATTGACACTTTTCACACATTTTCTGAAATGTTATATACCAAGCTATGATCGAGAATATATTTGACTGATTCATGGACAGAAGGGAGCTTTTTCTTGTGTGCTGCAGGGGTCTAAAAGGGGTGTTGCATGCTGTTCACTCGGCAAAGCCTCCTGAGACAAACGTGTTATTGGGCTAATAAAATATGATTGATAAAAGTTAGAAGCTGCCGAGAGCCACTCATTTTTTATGACTAGCAGATTTGAGTCCTGTGGGGCCACACTGGCTGTAAAAAAACAGCACAGTTTTATGTTGTCTTTTGTCAAAGGCCTAATTATTGATAACAGAATACTATATAAAACACAATAGGTGATGTGACATAAATCCGGGTGGATTACCACAGTGACGGGCTAATCCTGACAAATACATGTATCTCACTGTCATGCGCGCAAAGTGTAAGTGGAACAATTATGCAGAGGAATAACAAATCACACAAACCTGAAATAAGAGGATCCCTAATTCCCAAGATAAAAAATCTAAAAACACAAATGCAGCCTTCGCAACTAGAGGCACCTGACTGACAAAATATAACAAGCAGAGAGATGACACGTTTGACAAAACTGCAAACAAACCTCTTCCTCTGTCAGCCGTGAAATAAGAATAGAACAAATAAGGCAGCTGTCATTAATCAAGCTACACATGTTCCTCTGTGACAGCCATCAACACACACACACATGTATAGATTCACATACATGCTGACAATCTAAAAAAATCACTTTGACTCACGCAGATGAAAGTGTCGACACATAAAATTAGGCTGGCACAAAATATGAAGTTAAGGCAAAATACTAATGGAGCAAAGATGGATTCTCAAACAGCAGGGAGAAGCAAAGCGAGGAATACAAAAATGGGCTTGGTCTAAGAAAGTCTCTAAAAATCTGCAGGGTCCTGCCACACACAGAGCTCTCTGGCTGTGGTGAGGTAGAAGAAAATCAGTTTTGGTAGTTTTCTCTTGCAAAACCCACACTTGAAATGACCCGTGAGAGACTATAAATCATTCTGTGTGATGCTAAAATGAATGATTCCCCGGCAGATCAGAAATGGTTTATGATGCGGTGTAGCTGAGAGGCTGGTGCACCCTAGTGGCGACTCCTGAATCAAGTCCTACTCACCCACTGCTATTCTCCTTCACTGCTGATATTGGTTGAAGCTGCAATGTCAATATTTAATTTTGAAATCCAGCACAGCAGCAGTGAGCGAGCTTTGGATGACCACCGTGCCCTGCGTACCAAAACCCGCCGCCATCCACCTCCAAAATGAAAGCAGAAGGAACATGACACAGCCTCGTAATCCAGGTAATGGGGAGACAGAGGGGGACCTCAGTGTGGAAGGACGCGATAAGTGGTGGGAGATGAAGAGGGACAAAAGGAGGCCACAGCTCCCAGTCCTTTAGTGATAACAAGAATTCAAAATTGTAACACGACTGAGCCTGGCGTTTCGTGTGATTTGGGATTAGAGTCTCTGCTTACAGTGATACAGTGAAGGGTTAAGGGAGGCTGTATTAGCACAATGAGTCCATGGGGGAGGACAGCTACGGGCGAGGATGTGCGAACAAGACTCATTTAAACCAGGTTTAGCACACATTTCTGTCGGCTGTGGGATTTTCTTTCGTGCAAATGTGACAAGACTCCCAGACTAATTCAAATATTGCACTCTTTCTGAGTTCAGTGCAGGGGGTTTACCTGTGAGCTTCTTCACGGGCTGCAGCCTGACACTGATGGTCTGGTGGGTGAGCAGCGGGGAGGAGGGCAGCGAGCGGGACACGCCCTCCATTATGCGAATGTGCTGCATGCCCTCGGTCATGGAGATCCGCGGTACAGCGTAGTCTCCTTCAAAGGCACAGTCGCTGTCTAAGCTGCCACCTGCAGGATGGGAGGGAGAACACGATGAGATGCTTCACTCTGCTCTAACAGTATGACACTGTTGGGAGTCAGTGTCTGCAAAAAAGCACAGAGACTTCACTTCATTTAACTGTGTTAAGCACTGATATATAATATTTAGGTATAATGTCACTGATGTAGACTTTTCCATATCCTTCTGTCTTGGTTTATCATGAATTAATAAGAATAATATATGAGATATTCTGCTGATACTTAGTGAATTGCCATAATGAGATTAATAGTTAAAGAGGCCCTATTGTGCCTTTTTGGGTTTCCCTCTCCTGTAGTGTGTTATATAGGTTAATATAGGTTATATAGGTAATAATAATAATAATAATGCATTACATTTTTTATTAGAGCGCTTTTACAGGTGCTCAAAGCGCTTTACAAGTACACATTACACATATTAGACATGTAAGAGTCATTACTGCGGATATTACCCACAGGAGCAAATGTGGGTAAAGTGTCTTGCCCAAGGACACAACGGCCTGACGCAGTGGCGGCCGAGGCGGGATTCAAACTGGAGTTCACCAACGCCCCTTGATCTGATGACCAACGCTCCTCTTACCTCTTACCTCTTACCACCCCTAGGTAAGAGGTCTGCAAAGGCTCAAATTCCAGAGTCAACACCAGGGGGAGTTTCTCTCCCACACACACACCCTCTGCCTTAAATGCCTCCATTGTAGACATTTGTTTACTTTCATAACATAGTGACATCACTATGTAACATTTGCGCTAAAGGGATGTTCCATCTCTTAGCAGTTAACCAAGGAACCAACCTTTTCACCTTGTTTCAGGTGAAAAACAAATGTCACAGTAGAGGCACAAAATCCAAATATGAACCTATAGTAGAAATGATCATAACAGGGCCCTTTAACATATTTGTAAATAAACTGTATGTAAGTTACTCTAGTAACTAGTTTGATGTGTTAGGGCCATTTGGATGATTATCGGTATAGTATCAACTGTTGTAATTATTTTTGACCAGATTTGTTTTTTATATATTACCCCATGCCTGTGATTTTCAAGATATTTTACTCTATGATTCACAGAGGTTGTGTTTTGGGCTACAATATTCCATTATTAGTGATTTTTTCAATCTATTGTTTTTTTGTCTATAAGAAATCAGAAAAACCACTCACATTGAACAAACTGAAGCAACTTGGAACATAAACAAATGTGTGGATATGAATACTCTGACATTACCTCTGACTAGTCCCTGCATTGTGTCATCAGTATCGGGTGTAAAAAGATTGGCGTGACCCAGTAGAGAGAACAGCCCTGAAGGCAACACGTGCCGTTCACAGTCACTGTAATAAACTACTGCCTACCGGAGCTCTCTGGGCCTCGTGGTAACACAATACCCAATCATTGTAATAAACAAAGGAGGATTCTCTAACCATCTGACATATGTTTAAACAAACTAGAAAAAGAGCCCAGTAATGATCACCAAAGCACTTTTAATTCACAAAAAAAAAGCTTTCACAATGAGCTATAATTACAGACGGAGCACAACAACCCATCTCTATCACTTACCCCACCCATTTTTATTTTAAATCCCTTTCTTCCAAAACCAAAAATTAGGGCTTGAACTTTTTTCAAACACTAAATGTCCCATCAGCCAGCTGTCTGCAAACACAACATCCATTTTGTGAATCAGCTCTGGCTCATGTCCCTGCAGACGGAGCTGTAAAACCAACTGGTCAAGCAACAGTGTTGCATCAGACGGCAGCCGCCACACTGAGACGTGAAGCCATTATCAGAAACTAATCCGTGACAAGTCCCAGAGGAAGCCTGTGTGACGGTTAGGATGGGGCCAGTTGTTTTAATGCAAGTATAGAAAGAACAAACGCACACGACTATCTGTGGCTCCAGAAGTGCTGGATGCAGTCCATCCATTCACTGGGGAATGTCAGTGCAGAAGCAAAAAACAAAAGCCGGAGCAGCGGTTACATCCCCGAGCATGGACATTCTCCTCATGCATGCAGAGCCTACCGTGAATACCAAAGGGGGACTTGGTATTCCGAACAAGCATGCATTATTTATTCATTAAGGTAAGGAAATGTAAGTAATCTTCATTGAAATTAATAACCCTAAAATCTAAAGTGATACTATATATGATGGTTAGTGGGATCGTCAAGTAGCATTGGATAACGGTCGTTTAACATTTGAGTGTGTTTCTCCTAGTTGAGATTTTTTCATTGTTCAACGTTTTGACAAGGAGCCTGCAAATATTTCTAGAGGTCTCCTTATCTCTGAAACGAACAGATCTGATGATTCAAACTGGTAGAACATAACTGATAAAGCAGTTGTATGTAAAAATATCAGTGTTTTTCAGATGCCGTTTGCCTGCAGCTAATGTTTGCTTAGCTAGTTTCTCTTAAAACTCTAAATTAAATGTAGTCCAATGACAAAGATCCTTTATCTGGTTAGATAATTAGTTAAACACGACCATATCTTAAAAGTGTATATTATAAATGTGGTTGAAAATGAGATAAAAAGTCAATTTATCAGTTTCTGGCAGACAACTACGATGTTGACAAATGCACAAAAGGGGGGTGAAACCATTACAGGTTACCACATGCAACTGGGTTGTAGATCAAAATGACATATTTCCTTGGGTATAACATTTTTTTATTGTGACAATGTTACGTAATATACCTTTTAAGAAGGTACAAAATCAAGCACTTATTGGTACGCAATCTTGACTCATGTAAACAGTGATGTTCAAGGATGAGAGGGAGTCACACCTTACGACCTTGGTGGTGAATTCAAATGAAGGAAGCGATGGCGGTGTTTTATTTTAGACTTTGAAAAGAGACATGTTTAAGGGCCACTCATTGCATACAAATAAATACTCAAGGAAGTGTTTGACTCAAAACATGCAGGAAGAGGGGGAGGGAAAAAAAGGCTAAGTGAAATGAATTATAATTGCCCAAAAACATTTCCTACCAAGCACTCATATTCCCCTTGTTGATAAACACCTTTCCCCTAGAGGTAACTCAGATTTACAGGCAGGAAAATACAATTAATACAGTTCCCTCCTCGTAAATATAACTTTGTTTCCAGTAGTCGTAAAGTTTTCTGCCATAATATAAAATACAACTGGCAAACAAGGCCTCCATGGGTTTCTGCTCTGGAAACATTAAGAGAGAAGAAATGGAGTCTGGAAAGAGAGCGCCCAGAGAGAGCTATTACAGGAAATGAGAAGGTAAAGGTGGCAAAGAGCGCGCACGCTGTTTCCTAGAATCTCTGCTCCTCGTTCACTCACATAATACACATCCACGGCCGGTATGGCTCAGTACACTGCGGGATAAGCAACAAAATAGACACGTTGTGGTGAGGTGCTCAGGTGGCTTTTGCAGGCAATACTATATTTCATGAGGGGCAAAGCTCATATTACTACCAATAACTTTTTTCTTTTCTTTTTTTGGAAAACAGGTTTTCATTATTGAATGTTTTTTATTTTCCTGTCAACACGCTCAATATTAAAACATTAACCCATTCCAATCCCACTCAACACCATGGCACACATACAGCTATCTCTCAACTTGCAAAAATGGATTTTTTTCTACATAACAAAATAGAGGGGAAATGTGCCCCATTTCCCTTGAAATTTAAAGAGTAACATATTAACATGGGATATCATTTTTCCCAGTTGCAATATGACGTTCCTTTCTCTCCACAATTGTTCTGCTGAAGGTTAGTGATTACATTTCCAAATAATTGATATACTTTGTTTTGCTGCCCTATACTTCATTTCATTTTAAAGTTATAAAGCTCTGAACATTTCTACTTTGATATATGTTACAAAATGATGATGTATGACATCTCCATTATCTGATTAACAATTGTGGTCATTAAGGAGATGCGCTGAGGCTGAACTGATGTAGCCTCTTTGGGGTTTAATACGTGCTGTGATTTTCTTCTATTCTTGTAATATATATATTTATATTCAATGTCTTTTTCCCCATGTCATTTTGAAGTGACTCCCTATTGTGGGTTCAGTTGTAGTGTCTACACTGTGAGAGTTCTTGCACTTTGTCACATAGAAAATAGTTATTGCATATATCCCTTATTAACTTGAATGATGCTGCTGTTACTAATATATAAAAAAAATTACATAAAAAACGGATTTCAGTTTTCTTACCTTGGCCGATGTGGCTCAGGTGAGGGTCTAGACCGGGCGAGCGGGGGTCTGCCAAGTCCTCGCTCCCGCCATCTGCAGAGGAAGGGCAGAAAGAGAAAGATAAGGAGTGGGCTCTGTAGTTCTGGAAGGGTGACGAAGGCGTCAACAGAAAGTTCATCTCCTCCTCTGGGATCAGCCAGCTGTCGGCCCGCAGGACCCCCAGCATGCTGCTCACACACAGACCCTCCGCGCCCTTCTTCTTTGGGACCAAGCGGCTCCTTATGGTGAGGAAGGAGGACCGCTCTGACACACTCCACGTCTTCCGGCTCCCCATTGTTAGACTAAACATCTATTTCCAAGGCCTGCCCATGCAGAAAATAATGTATTTGACATTACAGCCATTGTTGCATGCAGAGTCCTGTGGTAGAGCTCACTGGGCTCTATGCTTCAATGAGCGAGAAGGAAAACAGTGGGCGTTTCCCCACGATAGATTCACATACGCTTAATGATATGAGGATCAATTACGCCCAAGGGAGCAGGCAGGCAGAATTAGCCACAGTGGATGGAGCCGAAATGAGCGGGGGGGGGGGGGGGGGGGGGGGGCGGCATCACTGGCCAGCAGAGTCCGTGTCATCGGGGGATTGTTTCATAATCCTGTTCGAGTGCGGACGGATCTGCTGTAAAGCACGACAGGCCAGCAGAGGAGGAACAAATGATTTATACTCCGAATCAAAACCTCCCACTGGAGCAAAGTGAGCTAATAATAACATCTAAACTGTGAGGATGCATGAATTCTAGTCCAAGCCAGTGGATGGATTTTTGGGAGTAGATAAGTCAAAGATTGTTGCATAAAGTAGAAAACACTATATTAAAGCAAGACCTTGCATTGTATTTCAATCACACAGAGCCCAGAAAACCCAAACATGCACTCAATTATTATCTCTCCCATCGCAGACTAACACAGTGTGCCAGGAGCCACACAGCAGGGTAGATTGGATCGCTGGTGGACGGATCAAGCTTGTCGATGGAAAGATAGAATAAGCCGTGGGGCATGATTGTGTGAGAACTGGGCCAGCCTCAGATTGACACTGATTGTGGAATGGAGTCCACTACCGAGGATTTATAGGAGTTTGCTTCGTGACCTGAGCCACCATGTCAGGAGGCTTCAAATGAATAGGCATGCCGACAAAGTGTGAAATGTTATGCAATCAAAACATGTCATTTGGGAGTGTTTTTGAGAAAATGTCAGCAATTGTTATTCTTGGTGTTCTTACAAAAAACAATAAATCCTGCTGCCAAAATGTTCTTTACTTGTATGTTCAACAACAGAACCCACCAAAAATAGCTTCTCACCTCGTATAGTCGATGAGCCATATCATCTAGTAAAATCAATGTTGTGAAGATCGATACGTGCTTTGAAGATGATGCGCACTAGCTATGAGCCATGAAAATCAAGGCATGCACACATGAAGAGTGTGATGTTGTGAGCGGCAAGCTCAATGATGTACAGTAATAGATTTTGCACCCTTGCTACGCTCCTGCAGCGGATCTGATGAACACCTTAGGTGACGTTTGAAGCGGCTCGCTTGTCATCAAGCCAGTCGAGTTGCTGGAAATGTCATATCTGGAGCGTTAACACTTGTAATGAACAAAGGACAATAAAGCTGGAGAATTGGATACAATAGATCAGACAATTACTTGGTACTAATCTTCTTAAGGTGTGTGGTGATTTTAACAGTACATCTTATTGTGACACATACTGAATTACAGCTTTGGTGTAAGAAATAAAAAGCTGGACATAAAACAATTTAGTCAGGTTAAATTACATTCCACCCACAACATGACAATTCTGAGTTTAACCTCCAATTTGAATAATTCTGTTGTTGAGGTTTTGGAAAAATGTCACACATCACCAATGTGCTTTTACCTCTTTAGTGCCTATTTTCTCTCAACTATCATTTATGTTCAGGCTTAGCAATCATGTCTTTGTACTTCTTTTATGTGCAAGAGAAAGCTTATTTTCAGCTGTGCAGATTGCTCTTTTGTTACAAGCGATCCCAGTACAATGCCCTGCCACACAGATCAATGGCCTATTGAGCAGGCAACACGAAAGGGGAGGACCTACGGTTGACAGAAGACACAGACGTGTTTTTCTTTCCAACCGCAGAGACAAACAGTGGACATCATTCTAGTTCCTTACAGAACATCCATCAACAACTCGGTCAACAACAACAACACAAGAATACAACTGAACTCGGTAGTCAGAAAAGACCATCTGCACTTTGTAACCACATCCTATTCAGCTGGAAAATCAAAGCTTTGCTCTCGCTGAAGCTAAAAGACCATGTCCAAAACCCAATAAATAATGGTGCACTTATACTGTTGGCTATTCTTTGGAGCTGTAATGCCACAGTGCTGTGTTAGGATGTCAAAGGAGCAAGCCAATTTCGCACTTGGACAAAGAGTCATTATGAGAGAAGTAAGAGTGACATCTGATAGAGATCCCATGGAGCATGGCGGAGAACTCTACCATCATTATCGCCCAGACTGTCTTTGATAAACCTGCTGGTGTTCTCAGTGTTCAATGTGACCTCGGCTCTAAAAAAGGGCTTGTTTTCCAAGGCACTGGGTGATTGCTATAAAGCGGGCTCCTTTTGTGTGATCACCTTTGGTAAAAAATAGAAGAGAGACAGCTAAGTTGTCACTAGCTTATAGCGGTTTTGATCTTCATGTCCAAAATCTTGGAATAACTACTCTGCAGGAGAGTAGCTGGAACGAATTAGGATTTGAAATGGATTTGGTTCTTTTTCTGTGACTGATAGATCCTGTCACACTAATAAAATAAACTAATAGACTCGCCCCAAAAAGTTCAATCGATGCCCGTTAAAAAAGCCAGCAATGGAAAATTGCAACTGAGGCGTATAACTGAGACACATCCCTGATATTAGGAGCCAAGAAAATAACATCCTTCAGCTAAATGACTTCACTCACTGACAGTCTATGATTCTGTGTTAGGTTGACTTCCTTGCGGTTTTATTTCTTACCTTACCGTGGGGCCTTAATGATGCCAACTTGTAGTCAATGTTCAGGAAGCAACCCCTAATTAAACACCTGCACTATCCATGTCAACGCCAACTGATCCCCCATTCTCTAAAAATAACATTCCAGGTTAAAAAAATATCTTCAATGAGTTCATCCTTTTTTTCACTTTGTAGTATTTGATAATATAACATTACAGAAATCCTTTTTGTACTTTGCACACCTTCAATGCATGACGTCTCCGTAGACAGAATAATAAATAGTTGTGTGGGTTTGGTGCAATGAATGACGCATTTCTAATAAGGTGCACTACATTATCCAAGAACCCTATTTAACAACTCCTTCTCTAGAGATTTACATTTTAAACTTCCTAGAATCCATATAAACCCTGATGAAATAGAGGGATCATGTGCGAGCTATAGGATGATAAAACACAATGACATTTATGCAGCACATGGTTGCCCACACACAAATAAAAAATGGATGTGCGTACCATACATCACATGGAGTGGTCGTGTGTGAGCAGGGGTGCTGAGAGTAATTTATAAAAAAAAAAGTTGGAAATTGGAAAAGGTAAATGCCAATGAGTGGTTCACTGTGCTGCTGACTATCGAAAATTATCTCTATTTTATATCATATTAAACTAAATATTTTATATACATTTTAACATGTTTACTTAGACTCAAGAAAGTAGGATATACATATTTTCATTATCTTCTGATATTTTGTTGACCAAACAATTAACCAATAAAGCCCGTCTTTAAAACTATTTGTTTTGCCTGATCACCGTTCCTGCTGTCAATCAACTAATCCATTCATTTTCCAACCATGTATGCAAAATCTAGCACTGTGGGCTTGTTAGTTTGGTCCCAGACAAACACTGCTCCTCTGCTTTGACATTCATTTAGGTTGGATTTAATCATATTCTCAACAAAGTGGAGCATCTTAATGAATCACATCACCACAGTGAGTAAGCCATATGAGAGCAGACATCTGCTCAGCTGTACAGTTGGCAGACATCTTCATTAGCATCAGCTTCGGTGTAAGCTAACACACACACAAACAGTCTTTTGTCAGAAGAGTGCTTTCTTCTTATGACTGCAGTGATCCAGCTCTGGGGTACCACAGGAAGTGGAGGGTTCTGATATCCTGCCAAGGTATAACAATAGGAAACCACTTTCATCCAGACCACACCATACAGTATACCTGTGTAATGTATATAGTGTACAAACACACAAACATTTGTGGTCTCATCTTGTTCAAAGAACCTTTGAACAAGATGAGACCACAAATGTTTATTTCAACCAAGTCAAAGAGGGGTTCTACTTTAATCCTGAACAGATCTGCTAAACGTTAGTCATCTGAACTTTAAATTGTATGAAACAAATTGTTTTGGGTTACTAACATTGAATAAGGCAAGGAGCCCACCTACTGTATGGTGTGAGATCAACAAGCTTTTCAATCATACTTGAAAGGCAAAATTAAAATGTGAAGGAAACACAGCAGGACTGCAAATATTCCAGATATAGAAAAACAAAAACACATCGGTCATAGAGCAGCAGCCAGATATAATAGTATATTTCTATTAAAGCCCCTGGTTTCAATAGGTTTTTCTCTATAAACTCCAGTTTAATGGTCAAAAAGTCTATCACCTCCATGGCATATCACCTTCATATCGGAATTGATGGATGTAAACACTGTTAACATGCTTGGGTATACTTTTTTGTCGACATTAAAGCATTACAAAATAAAAAGATGAGTAGCATATGGTTGCATAATGAAATGCAGTTGTAATCCATTTCAGAAAAACTCAAAATAATAAAAAAACTATTGTAAATGATCTGGGCATATAATGTGGCCAGACAATTTGACATCAGGGAAACATTGTCAAGGCGCCAACTGTTTTAGCTGTATATATACATTTCCAAAAGAGAATCCTGTCAACTCCTAAGCAGCCTCACTTTACAGGGAGGACAAACGGCAGCAGTTATTCAGGACTCCCAGTAGAGGGACAATACGTTATGGACCTTAGTTCTTGTGAGTCTGTGGGGAGA